CATAAAATATGTATTAGTTTTTCCATTTCTATAGTCTTAGTGTTTGTGACCCCTGCCCCCAAATTTACATGTTAAAACCTAGCCCCTAAGAATGGTATTAAGAGGTGAGATTTTGGGAGGTGATTAGCTCATGAGGGCTCTATCCTCATGAATGAATTAGTACCCTCAGAAAAGAGGCCTTAGGGAGTTTTTTTGTCCATTCTATGACTTCAGAACATACTAGAAGGTACCATCTATGAGGAATGGACCCTCACCAGACATGGAATCTGCTGGCACCTTAATTTTGGACTTTCTAGCCTGTGAAACTGTAAGAAACAAATTTCTGTTATTAATAAATCATGCAATCTAAGGTACTTTGTAAGAGCAGTCTGAACAGACTAAGACACCAGTGCTGCTATACAAATTATCACAAATGTAGTGACTTCAAACAAAACAAATAGATTATTTACAGTTCTGGAAGTCAAAGTCTGAAATGAATCTCATTAGGCAAAAAAACAAGGCGTTGACAAGGCTGCTTTCTTTTCTGGAGGCTCTGGATGAGAATGTGTTTCCTTACATTTTCTAGCTACTAGAGGCCATGTGCATTCTTTAACTCATTGCTCCTTCCTCCATTTTAAAAGCCAGCAGGATAGCATCTTCAAATGTCTCTTGCTTTCTTTCTCACTCTCTCTGACTCTCCTGTGTCCCTCCTTCCCTTGTAAGGACCCCTGTAATTACATTGGTCCCTCCCAGAAAATCATGGATAACAACTCTATTTCAAGCTCCATACTTAGTCATACATGAAAAGTCTGCTTTGTACTGGAAGGTTACATATAAAAAAGGTTATGAAGATTCTGATGTGGACATCTTTGAGGGTCATTATTCTGTCTACCACAGAATTCTAGTTACATAAAATTGTGTTATTCCCTGGATAAAAAGTAGTGAGAAAAAATAGCAGTTGCTTCTTTCATGGCAGGTATGAAGAATGAAACCACTCCCTGACCACCCACAATCTTGACCCCTGATCCCCATAAAAATGTGAATTATACATGATATAAACACCAGAAGTTATTTGATCCCCTTAAGCCAGCAACTTTTCTTCAAATCGGCTCTTTTCATGTTTTCAATGTCTATAATCAATTATCACGCACCATTAAATCTATCTGAGACATGATTCAAGAATTTTCTTAACATATTTACTGACATTGACCTCACCAGTTGGTACTGGGATATCACAGTCACTTCCTAACCTGTATCCCATCACCAGTCTCACCCCACTCCAGCGCACTGTCCTCACCATGTCTACAGTTAACATGCTAAAACAGATTTCTTTATTTATAGGTCTTTAAACTGGTAAAGGGGTAAACAAACTCTGGTTCATCCATATAGTGTAATGTTATTCAGCAATGAAAAGGAAGAGACTGCTAATACATACATCATGAATAAATTTCAAATGTAGGTATATTTAGGAAGCCAGTTGCAAAGGCTACATGCTTTATGATTCCATATATGTGACTTCAATTTATATGCCTTTCTGAAAAAGGTAAATCTATACACATACAGTACAGATAAAAATTGACAGGGATTGTGGGTAGGAAAAGGAGTTAACATCAGAGATCCACGGTGGATTTATTTTTTGAATGGAGGACAAGTTCTATAACTAGATTATAGTGGTGTAGGCTCAACTGAATGAATTTGTCAACACTTATAGTACTATATACTCAAAAGGATAAATTTTATTTTACATATATTACACTTAATTTTTAGAAGTTTATTACCTCAAATTTTTTATTATTTTGTGGTGAGAGTACATCACAATCACTCTACTTGCATTTCTTTTTTTAAAACAAATTTTGATTGTAGATGGACAAAATAACTTTATTTATTTATTTTTGGTGGTGCTGAGAATGGAACCCAGGGCTTCATATGTGCTAGGTAAGTGCTCTTCCACTGAGCTACACCCCAAAATTCCTCTTCTTGCATTTCTAAAGAAAACAATATATTGTCTTTACAATATATTTTACACCTTGATATAAAATAGATCTCTATGTTGTATGCAGCGAACATATAAAATTTCTTTTAAAATTTAATGTTTATGCTTGACCCTTAATGTATGGAGTAAAGCAGCTTACTAATTTCAAATCAGGTCAATTATCATCCACTAAATGAATTAATTCTCTTATTCCTCTAGAAAATATTAGCCTAATCATGCAAAGGGCTCCTTAGCATGCACATCTCTGCTGAGATGTTAAAGATGAGGACTGCAGTTAGAATTCTTATAATCACCCAGTGTGCTCATATTCGGAAGCTTCAAAGGATGGTGTGCACACAGAGTGATTAAAAATAAAAACTAAAACACTTGATTTGGTGGAAAAACCAGGTAATTAGGCAGCTCAAGAGAAAGGGATGGGTGAGCCATGAAAACAGTGCCAAACCAAAAAATGCATGCTGGAACACACACATACATCCAGAGTCTCCTGCAATATACCCATGGACCTCACTGCCATGGGGTATGCCTACTGGGAAACAAGGAATAGGCCAAAACCTTCATTTGGGACCTGTTGCCTTTAATAGCTGGGAAAAAAAATTCTGTTGTTGCCCACTTCACTTGAATGCAATACAATCTCACTTCTCCAATTGTCCAAATACATTATATAGCACATTGTCTATATCATAAAAAATGAGTGGCTATTATGGGTTTATATATTAAGTATACCCCCAAAACTCATGTGTGAAACAATGCAAGAGAGTTTAGGGGTGAAATGATTGGGTTATGAGAGTGTTAACCTAATCAGTGCATTAATCCCCTAATAGGGATTAACTGGGTGGTAACTGTAGGCAGGTAGATTGTGGCTGGAGGAGGTAGGTCCCTGGGAGTGTGCCTTTGGGGTATATATTTTGTCCTTAGGTGAGTGGAACTCTCTCTCTGCTTCCTGGTGCCATGTCCTCAGCCACTTTCCTCTGCTACACCCTTCTGTCAGGATGTTCTGTTTCACCTCCAACCCACAGCAATGGAGTTGGCCATCTATGGATTAAGACCTGTGAACCGTGAGCCCCAAATAAACTTTTCCTCCTCTACAATTGTTCTTGTTGGGTCTTCTGGTCATAGTAGCAAAATAACTGACTAAAATGGTGGCTGACTCCTCCTGCAACAACTGAATAGCTGGTCCACCCCATGCTGGGTGGCCAGATAGACCTCTCTGGTAAGGGAGATGTAGCCTGAGATGTGAGCTAAGGGGCAGCATTTACACCACACCATGGAACTGCAAAGCACAGGAAACTGGGAGATTCCAAGAAAACAAAATTAATGGTTAGCAAACTGTGACTAACTTATCCACAAAAGTTGCTCTTATATTTTGCCTAAATTCAGACATGTGGAAATTCTTAAAAAGAGAGAGAGAGACAGGGAAGAATGCATACCTGAAAAGAAACTGTTTTCAAGGTCCTTGAGATAGTCCAGAACTGCCTATTTGTTCAATGGTGATTGGTGTTTCCAAAGGAAATCATTTTAGTCTGATTCTGAATGAGAGTCATTTTGCTTCACCTTTGGTGGTGCTGGGGCTCAATCAGGGCCTTGGGCGTGCTAGGAAAGCACTCACCATTAAGCTACCTCTTTAGCCAAATGAGGGCTGTTTTAAAGACACCCTTAGTCAAGGAGCTTTTAATTCAACTTGATATAATGTATCTACTGTAACATGTAATAAATGCAGTTACTATTAGTACAAAAAAAGCATGTTTATTTTAAAGTAGTCTGTGATTAAGGAGTTTCCCCAATTTATCCTGGATCTTCCCATTATCAATATTTTGATATGAATATCAGATAATCACTTTATCCAAATTTAATATTCAGAGATTCTTTAAACACCTACCCCCAACGACTGGCAGATTTCAAGGCAACAAAATTATTGGAAAACAATATTCCACAAATTGAGGAAGCTTCAATCACACCACTCCCAAATCCATCATGAGGACCACAGCTTTAGCCTACACTTTACTGTACTGCCACCAACAGGAATAATTGTTTTCATCTACAATGTGGATGAAATCTACAATCTACAACAGATTCAAGGGAACCTTTCAAGGCAAAAAGGTTAAATGTCCCTTTACTATCCTGATTGTATTGTATAGACAATAGAGTGACCCACTATATTCCTTTCAAGAATTCTAAAATTCCCAACTCTAACACAAGGAGAAATCAATGGTAAGTGGTTGTGTATAAGAACATCTTGATAAGAAACATTTTTATAAGAAAACCCTCAGGCAGGAGCTTGCAGAAGAATGCAATGAAGAATTCTGATGCTTGCACCAAGTGCACGGAGTCTCCATGTACAAAAGAGCTAGAAACACAGGCTCATTTACGTGTACTGAACTGATGATGGCTACCAGGGGCAGCCCTAACATGAAGGAAAGACATTCCAAACACAGTAAATCTTGAAGTTCCCACCAAAACAGATTACACCTTCCATGACTTTCCTGGCAATTTCATTCCTGGGAACTCTGGAGAATAGTGAAAGTGTCCCCAAAGCATCCGATATTTATTTCCCTTGGTTGCTGGTGCTTCTGTGTGTGCTCTTCAAACTAAATGGAAAAGAAAAGATGTGGCCAGCCCCACAACACGCACAGCTCTAGCGGAATTGTGGACAGCAGAAAGGAAGTGCGGCCTGAGTCTGCAGGCCAGCGGCCTGCAGGCCTGGGCCTGGTATGCATAGGAGTGCGCATGCGGCCTAACAGCCACTCCTTGACCTTGGCCCCTCAGGTCCACTTCCGGCAGACCGAGCACCCAACACGGCACAGACGGTGGCACAAACAGGTACAGGTCTTTTCAGAAATTTCTGGGTGTTTTCTGTAATGCCCCCAGGGGGGTGGGTTTCTTGGTGAACCTGTTGAATGAAGGCTGTTGGCTTCAGGGTGGACTGTAGAGTTTGCAGGACCCAGAGTGATAACTGCCCACACGATTTCCACCTCCCTCCACCAATGCACGTACGTTTCTTCCTCTTTTAGGGCTCCTATTTTATTTTAAAATGCAGCGATCTTTAGAACAAGCTTTGGATCGTGCAGAGGATGTCATTGAAAGTGCCCAACAGAGACCCCCTAAGAGAAAATACTCATCTAGTGGGGAGAAATCTCTACATCAAAAACTTTATGACATTTATGTAGAAGAATGTGAAAAAGAGCCCGAGGGGACGGAGGAACTCAGGAGCAATGTCAACTTGCTGGAAAAGCTGGTTAGGAGAGAGTCCTTGCCATGCTTAGTAGTCAACTTGTACCCGGGAAATAAGGGCTATTCTCTGATGCTGGAGGACAAAAGTGAGTTCTTTTCAGAGACCATCCAGCTGCCTTATGGAGAAGGGGAACTGCTTGAGTACTTGGATGCAGAAGAATTACCACCTATTCTGCTGGATGTCCTAGAAAAATCGCAGCTGAACATTTTTCATTGTGGGTGTGTCATAGCAGAAATCCGTGACTACAGACAGTGCAGTGACATGGAACCTTCCACTTACCAAAGCCGGCATATTCTCTTGCGCCCCACCATGCAGACTTTAGCATGTGATATAGAGTCCATGACGAGTGATGACCTCCAATGGACTCAGGAAGACAAACTTGCCCTTGAGAGTGAACTGCTCTTAGCTACAGCTGAACCATTGTGTCTTGATCCCTCTGTGGCTGTCACCTGCACTGCTAACAGGCTACTGTATAACAAGCAGAAGATGAATACTAACCCAATGAAACGGTGCCTGAAGAGGTATTCATGGTCCTCTCTGAATCGGCAGCAAGAGCTGTCACAACATCAGTCTCCCCCTGATGCAAGACTATTGACTGCTTGCAAAAAAGAGGAAGAGAGAAAAGCAGATCTGAAGCAAGACCTAAGGATGCCTCCAGTTGGATATTGTGTGGACATGTGGAAAGAGAGATGCTCTGACTTGGCCATACCTCCTCAAGTGGATGTGGAGAAATATGCTAAAGTGAAGGAGTCTTTGGGATCTGATGACCCACAAGCAACAGTCTGGCCAGATCCTGAGCTAGGAGATGACTTTGGATTTGAGTGTGACAGTGGCAATCAGCTGTGGGAAACGAAGCTGAGCTTCATGCAGTCACTCAATGATCCGCTTTTCTCTGGCAAAACTGCATCACCTAAACAGGGCCCATGTGAGATCCAGATGTATCCCCCCCTGGTCTCCCCAGCTGACCATTCACATGGCTTCGTGGAAGGGTCAAAGATTGATGCAGGGCCAGTGAATGTGTGCCAGGAGTCAGTCCAGAGCAAAGTCGAATGTGCAGGCAAGATGCCCCACGGCTCCAGTGGCTCAGCCCTTCTCAGGCAACCCTCTCCAGGGAAAAAGCCAAAGCAGCCTACCACCAGATGGGTGCAGTCCTCAGTACGAGGCAAGGCATCGAAACCTCGAGCTCTGGCTGTGACTCTTCCCTCCAGCGCAGGACAGACATTGTCAGGTAACAGTCCTCCTGCACAGCAGGCAAGCAGCTTGCACAGATTCCCACCTCTTGCCCCAGCTCCTAAGCGATGTGGCCTTTATCAGAAGTCTCCTTTAGGTGTCAGCAGAGGAGGAGTAGTGCTTTATCCAGCCACCCGGCCCCCTGCCAGCTTGTCAGAAGGAACCCTGACCACCCGGGGCCCAGTGGGCTCCACTGGCCTAAAGGTCATCAATGTGGTGGGCCCAGTTCAGGGAGCCCAGGTTTTGGTGAGTGGTTCCAACCCTGTGCTGAGCAATTCCACCAGTGCCTATGTACCTATAAGCATGCATCCCAAGGGCCTTCTGCCCCCCAGAGGTCAACTGTGCAATGCACAGCCATGTCCAACACAGTCACCTGCTCAAGCAGGTGTGCAACTGATTTTAAATAACACTTCGGGTCCTGTAACTGTCTTCCAGCTTCCACCTGGTTCCATCATTTTGAACCCCCAGCAGCAGCAGCCCCAGCAGCCCCAGCCCCTGCCCCAGCCCCTGCCCCAGCCCCAACTTTACCAGTTGGTTCCACAGCAACAGCTTCAGCAACCCACAACTGCTCCTCCTCCACAGGCAGGGCCACAGGCTTCTGTGCCAGATTCAGGTGGTCAACAGTGGACCTTGCTGGCCCCACAAGCTGTTGTCACTAACCTAGCTCAAGGCAACAGTGTTCTGCAGCCCCAGTCAGCTATGTTGTGTCAGCTTGGCTCTGGTCAGCAAACACCTAGGCAGTGCCTTCCTCCACAGAGATTCCAGCTCTCCCCTGCCCCTCAAGGGCAGCTCCAGCCCCAGCCACTGCCACAATGTCTACAGCTGAGACTGGTGCAGTGCCCCATGTCTGTGCCCACAGCACCCACTCTGACAGCTCAGCCACTTGGGTTTGGGCACACAGCAGGTCAGGCAAAAGATAAAATGAAGAGTCGCACCCCAAAGTTCTGAGTCTTGCCTTGGTTTACTTCTCTTTTTAAAAACACACCAGCATTGAGCCAAATCAATTCCAAGCTTTCACTTCATCTGTGGTATTTTTAATGTGTCAGTATTTGGCATTTTAGAGTATAAGCTTTAGGGCAAAGCACAATCCCTTGATTTTTGCATAGAAACAGGGATGGATTTAAGAGGAGATTGTCTTAAGTTATTCTTTTAATTGTTGTTGACATGATTATTTTTATTCTATTTTTATGATTATTTAATTCTATTTTTAATGTGTGCCCAAATCCAAACTAGGTGCAGTTGAAACTCTTGAAGCTTATAATCTCTCTGAATGAGAAAGTTACAGTCAGAATATACCTCGAGTTAACATTTTAGAAAATGGCTGGTTTTTACATTTTTTTGTGTGAAAAAAATAGAACACAGCTTACTCTCTTAACATTTTTAAGTGTGCTTTTTACTGTGATATTAAGAACATTTCACGTGGTTGTGCCACAGAACTCTAGAAGATCCTCATCTTGCAGAAATTAAACTCTGCACTACCTAACACCAGCTCTTGATTTCCTCACCCCAGCCCCAGGTGGTTCTGTCTCTAAGAATTTGAGTACTGAGAGGACCTCATGTAAGAGACATCATACCATGTTCATCATTTTGAGACTGGCTTAATTCACTATTATAATGTCCTTTAGTTTCATCCATATTGTCCCATGTGACAGGAAGCTCTTTGCTTTTAAAAAAGAGTTTTCTTGGACATAATATGTAGAGAAGTAACATAGGAGAAACTTCTTTTAGAAAATTGTAGTTGGTACTTGTTTAAGATGTTTTGCACAATGTATGAGATATAATTGTTACAAATCCAGGTTGAAGAAATAAAGTCAAAAGAAATTACAACAAACCAAAGTTTGAGTCCACCAGAGGCCTTCAGGCCATTGACTGTCTTGGTGGCAGATTTGCTTGTGTGACAGCCCCCAGCCCTTTCAAAGGCTCTCCTTGCACTCAGTGCCCCCCTGCCTTGCAAAGCCCAGCTCCCCTCCTACAGGCCCTGTCAGTGGTCTTGAAAAGGCACTTCTGGGACATCTTGTTGTCTCTGTCTTTATAAGGTTATTTACATTTTTAGAACACTAGGTTACTTGCAAAGAGGTAAATAAACATTTGAAAATCTGTTTCATTTGTTTGCTTTTCAAATGCCTGAAGCTTTCTCACATGGTTAATTTGGCCTTCCTTTTCTTTTTTATTTTATCTGCTCATCATCAATTGTTCAGTGTTCCTTGCTCCATCTGTGATTTTCCATTTTCTTTTCTCAGTTGGACTTGAGTATTCCTGACTTTTTGTCTTTTTGTCTTTTTTAAAATTTGAGGTGTTGGGCCTGAGGTTGTACAAGTGACAGAGCTCCTGCTTAGCATGTTCAAGGAATCATGTTTAATCCCAGCACCAAAAAAAAAAAAAAAAAAAAAAAGAACATAATTTTGGTGTAATTCACATCAGAAACATTTAACTGTTTACAAGTTCGTTTGGGAACATTTCATGTATTCACAATATTCACAATGAAGTGCACCACTTCTGTTTCTCAAACATTTTCAGTGCCTTAAAAGAAATTTGTGTACCCATTAAGTTCTCTGTTGTCTTCCTTCCTAGTCCCCAACAATCACCAATTTTCTTTCTTTCTCTATTGATTTAAATTTTCTCAGTATTTCCCAATCAACAAATGGCCAAAGGAATTGAATAGGCACTTCATAGAAGAACAAATTGAAATGATCAGCAAATATATGAAAAAATGTTCAACATCTCAATATTTCCTATAAATGGAATCATACAATATGAGGTATTTGGGCTCTGGCATAATGTCTTTGTGGTTCATTGATGTTTAACATTTACAAGTCCTTCATTTCCCTTTCTTTCTTCTTTCTTTTTTTTTCTGAATAATATTCCATTGTTTGTGAATAGCACCTCCTGTTTATCCATTCGTCTTTTGTTGAACCTTTGGGTTGTTTCCACCTTTTGACTCTTGTGGAAAGCACTGCTACCATCATTTGTGTATAAGTTATTTTAGTGTTTTTTATATTTTGTTCTGTTATAATTTTGAAGGACAATCTGCCTATATAAAATTTCCTTTTTTTAAATACACATGTATGTTTATCTGCCTTTTGTTTTTAACTAAAAAGGAAAATTGATCTGGCAACTCTGAAAGGGATTAGTGATGAAACAGGCTGATTTTAAGCAAATACGTTGAATTTGCCATCTGAGTGACAATGAGCCTGTTAGAGCATCCTGGACATCATTGGGAATGGTGCCTGCACTTTAAAGAACTGAACCAGTGCAATGAGCAGTAGCAAAGAAGAATTTATTCATGGCCTTGGGTGCCCATCAGAGACCTGACCTCAGAATATCACCAGATTTGTTGTCCTTCCTTTGCCCTATAGCTGGTACTTTCAAGAACTACAGGGAGACACCAGCTGACTTTGTGCTTGAGTAATGTGGTCCTTCCTTTCCAGGCAGGTAAATAAATTCAGCTTTGTTTCAGGTTACTATTGGCTAGTCTTTGTTTATTTGCTTCTAATGATCCCCACCTGGATGGTACTTTGACACAGTGTCCCTTTTGAGGGCATTAGCTGGCTACATTTTGTGAGTAAATTTTTCATTTATTTTAGCATCATGAGAACCTAGGGGCTCTTTCAAGATGAATCCTTACTCAGTGTCCAAAATTAGCTTTCTGAAGGCTATATCTTCAGGGCTTTACCAGAGGATATTGATAGAATTCTCTGATAGGTTGCAGAGAAAAGTGATCCCACAGATGAGCACCCATGAAAATTCCAGCAGGCTGAGTAAAACAGGACATGGGACTTTGTCACAGGGCAGGAGTTTGGGAACAAGATTATTTCATTCCTTCAGAATCCTTGCAAATGCAGGGTTGACCTTAGCTCTAGAAGAGTGCTGTCCAATAGAAATCTAACTTGAGTTCCATAGGTAACTTAAAATTTTCTCATAGCCATGTTTCATTTTTTAATTTTTTTAAGAGAGAGAGAAAGAGAGAGAGAATTTTTTAATATTTATTTTTTAGTTTTAAGCGGACACAACATCTTTGTTTGTATGTGGTGCTGAGGATCGAACCCGGGCCGCATGTATGCCAAGCGAGCACGCTACCGCTTGAGCCACATCCCCAGCCCCCATAGCCATGTTTTAAAAAAGTAACAAACAATAAAAAAATCCAGGAGAAATTACTTTAATAAAAAAGTTTTTTAAACCAGTGCAAAATATTATCATTCTCATTTTATCAATATTAAAAATTTTAATGAGACATTTTCTTTCTTTTATTTTTACTATTTTCAAACTCCAGACACTGTCTCAATTTGAATGTGAAATTTTCTTCAAAAATACCTAATCTGAATTTAGATTTTTATAAAGTTTACACTTGTAAATGTAGATTCACCGTCCAAACATACTTAGTTTTCCAATAATTGAATCAAGTACCAGTTTATAAATTTAAAGTGATTAAAAGTAAGCTGGGCATGGTGGCACACACCTGTAATTCCAGTGGCTTGGGAGGCTGAGACAGGAGGATTACAGGTTCAAAGCGAGCCTCTGCAACTTAGTGAGGCTATAAGCAACCTAGTGAGACCCTGACTCAAAATACAAAATAAAAAAGGCTGAGGAAGTTGCTCCATGGTTAAGCACCCCTAGGTTCAATTCCTGGTACCAAAAAAAGAGGGGGGATTAAAAGTAATATTTTTAAAAGAAAAAAGTAATATTTAAAAAATGAGATCCTTAGCCTCACTAGCCACATTTCAAGTGCTCAATAGCCACGCACAGCTAGTGGATGTTGTTTTGGACAACAACCTTCTGAGAGAGGGAGGAGAAAAGCAGATAACTAAGACAGTCTCAGGCATGAAATGGGTACTAGTTCTTGAGATCCAGGAGCTGGGCATCAGAGCATACTGTTAGAGTGAGAGCGATGATGCCGATTCCAAGGGCTCGAGTGAGCTTCCAGAAATCCTCATACCCTGGAGTTGCTTGGGCTGGGATCTTCAGGTAGAAATGTAGGGGCCCCTGCCATGGAGAAGAAGT